GAGGTTCCTGGTTGGCCCGGGGCTCTTCCTGCCTCGCACAAGTCACCTGTGAGTGCAGTGTCAGGGCCAGGAGAGGCTGCACTCACTCCCCACACCCCGACCCCCTCCCTGACACCTCCCTTCTCCCTCCTTCCCGTCAGGTCTACTACATCAACTTCACCGATTTCGCCAGCTACGAGGTGGTGGTGGACGAGAAGCCCTTTCTGCAATGCACTCGGAGCATCGAGACGGGCAAGACCAACTTCAACACGTGCTACACGGCCGGGGTGTGCCTGCTCAAGGCACGGCAGAAAATCGCTGTCAAGATGGTCCACGCTGATATCTCCATCAACATGAGCAAGCACACGACTTTCTTTGGGGCCATCCGCCTGGGAGACGCGCCGGCATCCTAGAGAGGAACTTGGCGTGGCCAAGGATACCCACGGAACTGCACAGTGCTGCTGTTCATAAAGCGTATCAGTATTTCAGGGGTTCTGTAATCCGGCCATAAAGGAAACTGATCCAGAGCTATTTATTCCTATATGTGAATGCAGGAAGCACAATTGTCCTCTGGTGACTCGCGGGGAGGACTCGGATCAAACCGAAAAGCTGGTGGGGAGAGCGTTGCGAGGAGGAAAGGCTGCGGGGTGTGCCCTGTCTCAGTATTTCAAGTATTACTGCACTGATACTCTGCTCTGTGACCTTCACACGAGGCTTGCTGGGAGAGCTGGGGGCTCTGCTCCGACGCTGCGCCGGCAAGAGCATCCCACGAGGGAGAGGGAGGACACGGACTCCTGTCCCAAAATCCCAGCCAGGCTCCTGCTTGTGCACGCTAACGACAGCCAGGAAAAGGGGTCTGGCTTTCCTGCCTTGGCAGGGGCAGCTGGAAGGGCTGGGGGGCGAGGGCAGGTGGGTGAGACAGGGTCAGTGGTGTTTACATTCATCCTCAGGAGGAGGAGGAGGAGGAGGGAAAGTGCCTCGACCTAGAGCTTGGAAGCAAAAGCAGGAAGTGCGAGAGGAAGAGGAATAACTAGAGCAGGCTTAGCAGATAGGAAACTGCCTCCACATTCCAGAAACCGCCAAATCCCAAAGRAAACGCCGATTCCCGGGTCCAGGCCTCTGCTCCTTTCAGCTCCTGCCCTTACCCCGRAGGTAACCTTGCCCCAGCTGGGGCTGCCTTCAAGTACTGCTGCTGTTACAGCAAGTTGAGCTGGGTTGGGGTATTTTGGTTTTGGATTTTTTTTTTTTTTTTTGTTTTTTTTTTTTTTTTTTTTTTTTTTTTTTTTTTTTTTTTTTTTTTTTTTTTTTTTTTTTTTGGGTTTTGTTTTGTTCTTTTTAATTAATATTTTGCAAACCAAAACACATTTCTACAGGCTTCACCGAGCCACGTAGAGCAGCCACAAGTACTTGTGACAACACTCGGAGGAAGTTTGTTATGTTTAAGAATAAAATATTCAAACAGGATTTTTTTTTTCTGTTTTAATAGCAACTGCCCTGCTTTTAGATGTGGTTTTTAGCCTTCCTGTCTCCACCCCTTTCCTTTCAGTACCCTCCTACCTAAAATAAGTGGTGATGGAGATTTTAGCAAAGGGAAAAAAATGGGATTTTAAAATCTAGTCCAGCATGAAGTCACCACTTTTTCTTTTYTCTGAGCCCTGCTGAGTCTAGTCATAACTCGATTTCTCGACTAACAGAGGAGCTGGGACACTATTGTTTCTTTTGGCTTCTTGAGCAACTCTGTCCCGTTACCTCCCCTCAGCTGGGGCGACCTAAAGCCATAAGATGCTCTGGAGCTGAGGCAGAGGCACAAATTGCTCTGTTGTGTCAGCCCTTGGCTTGCACTTGCTCGCCTTGCTTGGGGTTTTGTTTCCCTGTGTTTCTTTCCAGAGCCTGTTTGTGTTTTCAAGAGGGGAGTGAAGTGMAGCCTGTGTAGAAATGGGACAAGTCCCAAAGTGACATCTTCAGCCTGCAGCAGGGAAGGTTTTGGGGACCTCAGTGCCTAAAGGGGCTGCAGGAGAGCTGGAGAGGAACTGGGGACAAGGGGTGGAGAGACAGGATAAGGGGGAATGGCATTAAGATGAAAGAGGGTTGATTTAGATGGGATTTTGGGAAGGAATTGTTTCCTGTGAGGGTGGGGAGGCCCTGGCACAGGGTGCCCAGAGAAGCTGTGGCTGGCCCTGGATCCCTGGGAGTGTCCAAGGGATGCTTGGAGCACCCTGGGACAGTGGAAGGTGTCCCTCCTGTGACACTGTTTGATCCATAAGATCCCTCCCAGTCCAGTCCTGTGTTTCCATGATCTCGGTGACAGCTCTGTGCAGAGGTGGCTCCTGGTCACCTGCAGGGACACGGGAGGGACATGTCCCAGCGCTGCACTGTGGCCACAGAGGATCCGCCCTGCCTGGAGCGCTCCTGGCTCCATCCCCAGCGAGTGATGTCCCCTGCCAAGTGTTGCAGTTTTTGGGAGATAAAAACTCCTCGGGGCAGCGGCGTTGGCCGCGGCGTCGCTATTCACAGGAGCCGTGCGCTTCGGGAAACAACTGCGTGACAAATGGGCTGCTCCAGCTTTTTAGTGGCTTCTCCTCCCTTCAGCCTCGACATGTGGGACGGGCAGGAGCCTCGGGGGCTCTTCACTGGGCTCTGTGGTTTTCTTTCCTTTCAAACGGATTAAGAGGGACATGTTCCTGTGGCAAGAATGAAGCGGGACAACTGTGTGCAGTGAGAACATGAAGCAAATCGTTAACAGGATTGCTTTAGAGCGGGCCCGAGCAGCAAGGCTGGGGGCAGCCATAAATAACGGGGAGTTGGGAGAGCCGGGGATGGAGTTTGCATTCCTTGTCCCCTCCTGGCAGGATCTGGGATGTGCTCCATGGCTGCGGGCAGGGGAGGCAGAGGGAGAATCCCTTTGCTCTGTGAAAGGCTGGGGTGTTGCTGTCCCTCTGATGTGTGCTCGGGATGAAGGAGGAGGGCAGAGGGAGCGATTCCTGCGTGGARTGTATTAAAAGGCTCTTTCTGGTGCTCACAAAGTGTGAATTGGAGGTGTGGAACTAGAGCTGGAGGGCAGAGCAAAGCCGGCTGCTGGTGACCTTGGCAGATACAGCCCTGCCTGCTCTGGGTGTTCCCGGTGGGATTTCCTTCCCCACCACACCGGGAGCTCCTGTGCAAGGTCTGTACAGAGCCAGGATGGTGGGGACACCTCCATCCCTCAGGGCTGGGAGAGGCACCGTGCCCTCATCGGGGTCAGAGCTGCTCACGAGTCACCTCCCCAATGCCCTGGGAATCCTGCACAGAAGAAAGGACAGATCGGATGGAGCTGGATAACCAGGCATCCTTCTGCTGCTGCCAGGCTGGAGCGCTGTGCCCCGTGGTGTGGGTGTGACACGGGCGGGTGGCTCTGTCCCCGCTGCCTCCACACCTCAGTGCYGCTCGTTCCTCACATCCTTTGGAGATTTCTCCCACAAAAACCTTAAGTGGAGCAGGGAATCTCTCCAGCAGATCCTGCTGGAGTCCTGGGAGCCAAGAAGAACAGGATAACTGGTTTCAGAGGCAGATCTGTCCCTGTTCATGCCCTGCGGTTCACTCTGCCGTTATCGTGGTCCAARAAAAGCCTCTGGGTGTTTGCCGGCTCTGATCCACAGCCGGTGCTCCTGCAAAGGGAATTCACAGCYTTGGGATGCAAATGCCCAGGGATTCTCTGCAGAAGTCCCTGATCCAAATCAGGGACTTTTCAGCGGGTGGCAGGGGCTGTGTCACCGTGCAGACCCGTGCCCAGCAGTTGGGGTGCAGGGGAACAGCCCGGGATTCCCTGGGTGTGGCGTGGCCGGAGCGCTCCCGGGGCCGGTTCTGCTTTCGGGAGGGCTGGAGGGTCATCCAGAGGTCGGTGTTTCCCCRGCAGGAGCTCACATCTGCACAGATGTGCTGTGTGCTCACAGCTGCCTCCAGCACTGCGGGGCAGCAGCACAGAACGCTGTCCCTGGCCTGTCACCGCTGTCCTGTGGCCCGGGATGCTCACAAAGTGTCCCCCGCCATGCCAGCTGTCAGAGGGTGAGTGGTAACATTCCAGATGTATAACTCTGTGTATATATTATATATATAATCTATATTTATTTATGTATTTTATGTCTGTATGTTATCTTTTTCCTGCCAGACACCTCCAGGATTAAAGCATGAGCTCCATGGCTGAAACTTCACATCCTTGGAAGCCCCTSAGCAGCCTGGAGTTGCTCCTTTGGATTAAATTGGCCACTCTGAACAAAAAAAAACCCAAAACTGTGCATTTTGGCGAGTGGCCCGTGAAGCGTGAGGGGCGTGTCCCTAAGGACTGTGTCAGCACTAGGTGGCACAAGGACACGGAGATGGCACCGCAAAAATCCAGCCCTGGGGGTGGGGCACAGCTCCGGGTGCACAGATCCCACCTGGAGCTGCCGCAGGGACAGTTCCCTTCTGGTTCCTGCCCTGGAGGTGACCCGGCAGCCCAGGTGGGGACAGGGGGTGTGACAGCGAGGAGCCCGGCACTGGCACATCGCAGACCCCTGGGGAGGGAGAGGAGGAGGAGGAGGAGGAAGAGGAGGGGGATTGCAGCTCCTCACATCCCGCTGGGAAGGGGCGGTGAGCCCTGGGAAGCTGTTGTTTCCCGAGTCCCCTGGGCTGCGCTGTGCCGGGATGCGGAGGGAATGTCACTGCCCGGGTGTGACAGTCAGGTGATCGCGCAGCCAGGAGCTGTCCCCGGCTCAGGGYGGCTGCAGAGCCCTCGCCAGCTGTCCCCGGTGTCCCGGCAGCTGGCACAGCCCGTCCCTGGCACAGGGAGACTCCCCCAAACCCTCTCAGCTTCCCCACGTGCCACCKCTGCCTCCTGGCATTTGATGTCACCGCGAGTCCAGCCGGTCACCTGAGCTCCCTCCTCCCCATCCTGCCCTTTCTCTTTCCCTTCCCTGTGGCTTTGTGCCGTTTTTCCCCCTCTGCGAGCTGATGTCTTTTCTTTTCCCACTTCCGTAGCACGAACACCCACATGCCTTATCTCCTTCCCCCATCCCATCCTGAAGCCTATTTATACAGAGCCTGGCTCCTGCCCAGCCTGCCAGCGGGACGGGGCTGCCAGCGCCGCAGCCCAACATGCTCTGGGCTGCCCGGGGATGTTTCGTGCTCTGGCTGCTCCCGGCCATYCTCAGAGCCCGGGTTAGTCCTGAGACGAGGCCCAGCTCTGCGCTGTGCCGGCAGGTAAGGCTGTTTTCYGAGCAGCACCTGGGCTGGGATGGCTCCAGCATCCCTCTGGATCTCCTCCCTGTGGCTCTCACCTCCCTCCAGCCTCCATGCCTTTAACTTTGCCAGTTTTTCCTCTGTTTTCCTGCCTTTGAGCTGGTCTCCTGCGAGGTGGTCCCTGGCACCCAGCGCCTCCCGTGTGCCTGCAATGCCTGAGGTGCTCGGAGGATGGATTGCAGGGATTCCAGGGGATGCTGGTGAGGCAGTTGGGAGCCTAGATGGGGAACAGCAGGTTTTTGTACCCCCAAGAGAAATCAGATTCTCCACATTCCCAGCTTCAGAGGGAGCAGGAGCGAGAGGAAAGGTGGAGCCTACAGAGGGCCCTTCCYCTGCCTGAACAGGGATGCTGTGGACCAGCTGGGCTTGGGAAGGGGGAGCAGCGCTCATTCCCACTTTTCATGCCCATCTTGGGCAGCAGCTGGCTCGCCTGGAGCTGTGGTTTGTAGCCCCCCCTCATTCACTCCTCCCCCGTCTCTTCACAGAGCCCCTCGAAGGTGTCTTGCAAAGGAGTTGGCCTGCRGAAGTTTCCCGAGGAGCTTGGCCAAGGAATTAAGCACCTTGAACTTTCCAACAACTTCATCCAAAACCTGTCAGGCAGCTACATGCCAGGATTTGGGCAGCTGGAGTACCTGGATGTGTGTTTCAACCAGCTGGAAGCTGTGTCAGCCACCGCCCTGGCTCGGCTGCCTCGGCTGCGCTCGCTCCTCCTGGGCTCCAACCACCTGGACCGGAATTATTTGGCTAACGGGGAYGCCTTCCGTTTGCTCAGGAAAATAGAGGTCCTGGACCTGTCTGTGAACAACCTGGAGAGCCACATGGCCAGCTGGTACATCAGCAACCTCACCAGCCTGCGGGTGCTGGATCTCTCTGGGAACAGGATGACCAAACTGCTGGCAGGGACCTTTCGGAGCTCRCCGCGGCTGCGCCAGCTCGACCTCAGCGACAACTACATCATGGACATCCAGGAGGGAGCTTTTGAGCCTCTGGAGGAGCTGGAGGTGCTGAACTTGGCTCTGAATTCCCTCCACTGTATCTCTGGCTTCAGCCTCATGCAGCTGCGCGTTTTAAACCTCAGCTACAACTCCCTGGAGCTCTTCTTCTCCGAGGAGGCAGCGGAGCCTTACCTGCTCCAAGTGCTCGACTTGAGCCATAACAGACTCCTCTCCTTCCCAGCGCTCCCCAAAGCCCATGATCTCACGCACTTAAACCTCTCCAACAACTTCATTGCTTCCCTGCTCCCAGGCTCTCCCCGTCCCGGGGAGTTTGTCCTTCTCTACAAGGAGATGGAGAGGTTCAACAGGACCGTGCATCCAGCRGCCGCTCTGACACGTCTGGCTGACCTGGATCTCAGCAATAACCTTCTGAAGCTGTTCCCATTTTCCTTCTTCCACCCTCTGGGCTCCCTGCACAGCCTCAGCCTGGCCAGGAACTGTCTCCAGGAGGTGGCCAGGGAATCCCTCTCCAATGGCACGGAGCTGTCCTTGCGCTCACTGGACCTCCACAGCAACGCCCTCCGTGTGCTGCCACGCTGGTTCTTCAATTCCTTGCCTCACCTGGAATCCATGGATCTGGGCTCCAACAGCCTCCAGCCTTGTGASAGCCGGGGAAGTGGCCTGGGCAGGGGTTTGGGGGGGGATTCTCACTCCTGCACCCCCTTCTACAACGTTCCCCGCTTGAAGCGTCTGAGCCTGTCCGAGAACAACATCTCCAGGCTGCAGCCCTACGCCTTCAGCCRGACCCCGCTGCTCTCCCTGGACCTGTCAGGGAACAGGGATTTGTCCATGCCCACGGGAGCCCTGGGGGGGCTGGAGATGTCCCTGCAGGAGCTGTCTCTGAGGGACAACCAGATGGACGAGAGGCAGGCAGCGCTGCCCTGCCTGGGCACGCTCCGAGTGCTGGACCTGTCGGGAAACCGCCTGAGCCTGCTGCCCACGGGGCTCTCCTGCTCCCCGCTGGAGAGCCTGGACATTCGGGATAACAACCTGCAGACCCTGGGCACGGCTGGGAGCTGGTCCCGCAGCCTGAGAGTCGTGTCCTTGGCCGGGAACCCCTGGAGCTGCTGCTCTCTGGGCTGGCTGGACACRCTGCGTGTGGCCGGAGTGGCCGTGCCGGACCTGGCCCGAGCCCGCTGTGCCTTCCAGGAGCACGGCCGGAATATCTCGGCCAGCATCACCGGCACACCCCGCTGGATCTGCCCCCAGCCCAAGGGCACTGCCTCCCTGGCTCTGCTCGTGGCTCTGGTGGGTCTTTCCCTCCTCACTGCTGGCGCTTTTTGCCTCCTGAGGAAAGGGCGGAACGCTCCGGGGTGTGCTGGACTCAGGAGAAACAGGGTGGGAGTGTCCCAGCCCTGTCCCAAAGGAGAGGGGTCAGCCAAGGAGAGGACACCTGAAAGCGTCACCAAAGTGTAGCCCAGAGCTGCAGCCATCGGTCAGAACTCTAATTATTATTAATAATATTAATATTAATAATATTATTGTSCTTTAGGTCTCGCTGGTGATTTGTGAACGCGGTGATGGGAGCGTGGTGGGTGCTGGGCTCTGGGCCACCTCCCCTTCTCCAGGAGGGAGGTTCCCCCATCCCCTCTGATCCCTGCCAGGAATTACACATGGAATTTGGGGTGCCATCACAATTCCCATCACCCAGCCCTGGGCTGGCTGCAGGGATCACCCTGCTCCCTCCACATCACACCCAACTGGGAATTGTCTCCACTGGGGCCACCTGGGCATTTCCCAGCTTRCCCCCTTAAGAATGTTTAAAATCTCTGCTAAATCCCTCCTGCTGCTCCTGCAGCATTCCCTAATCCAGAGAATGGGAATGGGATTGGCATTGGCACTGGTTTTTGGGGGCAGCTCATAGTGCCGGGGTGGGGAGGAGGTTTCTGTGGGACCCTGCCCACCTCTCTGCTGCCTTTCCCTGCTGTGGATGCCAGGAGGAATTCCGCCCTGCCTTCATCCACTGGGGTAACGGGAATGGCAGAAATGGGAGTCTGTGCTGTCCCTGGCTGGCACAAGGTGTCCCACCCTCAGTGCTGGGACCCCGAGGTGACGGTGGCAGAGGCAGCTGGTCCCAGCACGGGGTGAGTGCTGCCTGRGCCATGGTGCTGGGTGGGTTTGGCACCCTCTGAGCATCCCCCAAAGCCAGGGATGATCCAGGGGCTCAGACCCCACCTCGGGAAGGTGCAGGAGGAGGTRCTGAGTGGGATTGTCACTGTGAGGGGGTGTCCATCTACCACTTGAGTGACCTGTCCAGCTCTCCAGGCCTGAGTGGGAGTGTTAGAGAATAAAGAGGAGCACCTGGAGGGCTGGCCCAGCTCCAGRAAGGGTAAAACTGAGGCTGCAGATAAACCTTTAATGTTTCCCGTCCATTTGGTTCCACCTTGGAAGTCCCCAGCTGGGCCCAGTCACCTCCACACACCTGGTGGGTTGGAACTGTGGGAACAAAAGGGCTTGGAAGTTACTTAAAATCCCAATTACCTAATTTTCTTCTTCCTTTTTTTTTTTTTTCTTTCAAGCTTATCACGGTTTTACTGGGAAGCAAAAAGGGCCTTTTTGGTGTAAAATAAATCAGGGCTTCAGTTTCCTGTCCTTTCCAGGACCCCTGGTGACTTTGGTGGCCCCACATTTCCAACCCTGCCTCAGTTTCCCTCTGTTCCAGGGCTCTGTGCCCTGTCACAGCGAGTGGCAATGGCAGGGAGCCTGTCCCTGTGTGTCACCCCCCTGCAGGACCTTGGGGACAGGAGGAAGCTCARCCTCCCAGTCCAGGGCTGCTTTTTCCTGCATCTCCTGCTCCCTCACCCCCTTCCCCTTGGAGCTCCCATGTCCCTCTCAGGTCACCAAAGGTGCCACAGCTGCCACCACCCCTCGTCCCCTCCCATCCCAGTATTCCTGGCTCCATCCCCAGTGCTGTCCCCACTGATGTCCCTGGGGTGCCACAGCCAGCTGGGCTCTGGGTATGGAGCATCCCAGGAGCTGCTGTGCCCTCCTGGGGCTTCTCCCCAGCAATGTCCCCTGTCCTCGGGTGTCACCTGCTCTCCCAGTGTCCACAGGTGAGTTCACAATGTCCCTGGGGCAGGGATTTGCTTTTCCAGCGCCACAAAGTGCTGGGACAGCAGCAGGTGAGCTCAGCACATCCCCGATGCCGTGCCAGCCTCCCTCCCCAGCGTTCAGTGACATTGCAGGGACACTTGGGGACCCCCAGAGCCTTCGCTGGGTGTTTCTGCTGCGTTTTTGTGGTCTCTGTTCCTCGTTTAACCCCTCCCCAGGCTGTGCTTCCCACTTGTATCATCAGGACCTGTCCTGCCCTTGGTGCCGCTGCTCCCTCCAACATCTTCCCGGCGCTGAGCTGGGACTGGGGACGGGCGGGGACACCACGTACCACCCACGGCTGCTCAGGGACACCATGTGCTGCCGGCACCCGGTGCCAGGCGCTGCCTCGGCCATCCTGAGTGTCCCCAGCCCTGTTTATCCACGAGCAGCAGCTGGCGGGGGTTGACCCCTTCGGGGCGGTGGCGCTTGGGGACAGCAGCTGCTGATCCCTGGGTTTTCTCTGGGGATTGAAGCAGCTGCTGAAAAATGTACTGAAAACAGTGGGGAGGATCCTGGGGATGGTTTTACCCCACGGTAAAGGATCCCGAATAACTGGACTTGATCTTGGAGGATTTTTCCAACTTTCCATCTTTCCCCCCAGGGAAAGGGGGGAAGAGGGAGAACTTCCCAGGCCAAGAAGGGGCTGTGAAGGTGTGGAAAAAGAGCCAGGGAAATGGTGTTGGGTTATCCCCATTACTGATATCTGTGTCCTGTACCAGCTCAAAGGAAAATGGGATTACAGGTCATGGTCCCATGGTTTCGCCAAGAATTTAAACTGAGGTCGAGATCCCCTTCTCCCAGCYCCAGGAACAGCTTGGCCAGGAGCTGGGCATGGGGTGAGCCTGTGCTGGCCCAGGGGACAGCAAAGTGACACCAAACCATGTTTGTGTCCCCAGGAGCCAGCACCAGGCCAAGGAGAAACCCGGGGTCTGTCCTGAGCTCTGCTCTGCTCCTCATCCGGAGCTTCCCGTGCTTTAGGGGAAATGGTTTCCCTATCCCAGGCRTGTCTTGGCATCTCCAGCGTTTTCTTGATCCAAAAGGAGGGCACAAGATCTGTAGAATATTAAATTTTGAACAAATAAAGYGGCGATGCCAAAAATGTTGCATTTTCATGTCAGGCTGAAAGGCGGCAGGACGTAAATTTTGGTCTGACACAAAAAAAAAGCGGCAGTGATTAAAATGTTGTGACCATTGACAAATTTTCTAGAGAACTGGTTGAGAAATCCAGCAAAGCTCATTCTTTCCAGTGGAAAGCCTTCACATTTCCCTTGGATCTGCATTTTCAGAGAAGAATAGATTTTTATCAAAAATTTCCACCGAGCTGTTTCACTCACCCAGGCGGAAATTACCTTCTCTCAGCTCCCCTCGGTTACAGCACCTTTTTCTTTTCCTCTTTCTGATCTTTTTTTTTTTCCTTCTTCCCTGGAGATGATCCAGAGCTTCATCTGCTGCAGGAGCTCAGGGATATCCTGGGAAGTTCCTGGCAAATCTCTGTCCTCAGGCCACCCCAGCTGGGGAGAGCAGGGAGAGCGTTTCTCCCCTTCTGGGTTAAGACAGAGCCTAAATCAACCTAAATCTCCCCAATCATGCAAAGATAAGGAAGATAACGAGTCCCTTCACTCAGCTGAAGGCTCATCCGCTTCCAGAGGKCTGCTGGAGGAACCATTTCTTTAATTTTCCCAGGTTTTGCTGCAGTGCCCGTTCCCAAATCCTTTKGATCTCATCCTTGTGCCATCCTGGCTGCCTGGGATGTGCTCCCGGTGAATGTGGCGCTGTCTTTGTGGCTTTGGGATGGCACAAGAGGCTGGTGGCACCTCCAGGACACCACCCCGCGTCCCTCCCATGCCCGGGGCTGGTTCCCATTATCCGTCCCTGCCCCAGCGCCTCCGTGACTGGCACAGCTCCCCGCAGCCCCGGCGAGAGGTCGGGCGTGTTGTTCATGACACTTCTGCTCCTCTCAGGGCGCTCCGGCCGGGCTGAAACCTCCATCCCGAGGCACCTCGGGCTGTGCAGATGGGAAACGTGTCCCCCCGTGTCCCCCCGTGTCCCCCCGTGTTCCCCCGTGTCCCCCTGCCCTGAATGCCACCTCCCCGGGCCGGGGGGGACAGATGTTCTGCAGCTGGATCCTCCCTGCCAGCTGTGCCCGAGCTGCCTGCAGGGGGACACCGCCACGGGGACAGGCAGTGCTGTCACCGGCACCGGGAAATGTCACCTCGTGTCGTGTCCTCACAGCAGGTGCAGATCTGTCCCTGCTCCCAGATTTGGGGCTCTGGGTGGCTGTGGGGTCAGTGACACTGGTGGCTCTGTAGTGCCTGCCACCCCCAGCCTGTTCTCGGTACCTGTCCCGTGCTTTTCCCTGGAAAGAGGAAGGGGATGGTTTCTCTGAAGGAAAGCAGAGCTCCACGGCAGGAAGGGCTCCCGACACTCTGGGGTGACCCTCCTGCTGTCCCCTCTCCAGAGGGGACAGGGTGTTCCCGCTCTCCAGCAGCAGCGGGGATCTCATCCCCAGTCTGGGATGTGGCAGCAGCTGCCAGGGGGGGCAGGACAACGTCAGTGCCACATGACCCACGTGCCACCACCCCCTGCGTCACTGTCGCTGTCATTGTCACCGCACTGGCACAGCCTCCACGCAAAAGGATGTGGCTCCTCACGGGGTCAGTCGGGAGGTGAGGGTGCAATGGGGCACCGAGGTCACCGGGGTCTGAGGGGACACTTTGGTGGCAGGGGAACCCCTGAAATGTCCCCTCCTGAGCCATGGGGAGCTGGGACAAGGCATTGGGACCCCACGTGCCCACACAGGGCACAAACCACTCCCAGGTGTTTGCTTTGGCCGCTGTCCGAGCCCCAGGAGTGAGGGACACCAACCTTTGGCCATCCAGGACAACTCTTGGCTGTTCCCCCACTAAAACCTCTGACCCTGCACCAGCTCTGCCCCTTGAGCCCTCCCTGGAGCTGTCCCCTCTCRGTGTCCCCAGGGTGGCTGACMCCAGGTGGGTGRGGGGGACTTTTCCCAATGTTCTCCKTGCTCCTTTTGGTGTCCCCYGTGCTGGGGAAGAAAAGCCTCTCCTGGGCTGGGAATCCCCTCCCACCTCCCTCCTTCCCTCCAGCCCATCTTGGAAGGGGAAGGAAGGGGTATTTTTAGCACTCACCCTCGGGTTGTTTCAAGGATTGAGCTAAAAAGAGGAATTGGCATTCAAAGGAGGGCTGGCTTGGCTTTAAAAGGAAGGGCTTGTGCTTTTCTTCCTACTCAGGCATTGCAAAATTTTTCTGTGAAAAGGGATTGGTAAAAATACSTCTTGTGGGAGGTGGCAGCCTGTGACAGCGGTGTCACAGTTCCCTGTGCTGGCACCGCTTCCCTTGCCCAGTTGCCAGGGYGAGCTCCCATCCCCTAGGAAGGGCTGGGGTGGGACTAAACCCCCCTGTCCTGGTGCTGCTCACAGCTCCCATCACCTGGGAAGGGAATTCCCTCCTGCCAGCCCATCCTGGAGCAGTTCCTTTTGGCATTCCTGCTTTCCAGCAGCTTTTTCCAACCATTCTCAAGACTTCTGAACCCCCTGGGAATTCAGATGCCTTCCTTGCTGCCCAGTGTTGTTCTGGCAACCCCCTGGAGATCCTCCAGACCCCAAAACATCATCCACACCTGAGGAGGAAGCTGGAAGACACAAAGGACACAGCCCAAAGCGTGGGGTTTGGTATTTAGGGAATATAGGCTTGGGTTATCCATGTGTTCCTTCTTTTCTCTCCGCCYTTTAACCAATCCCCTTGTAACTTCCTGGGATTTGGGAGTGGCCTGGAGCCCTCCCTCAAGGGCCATTGCCCCTGCACAATGAGCGTCCCAAGGGAAGTTTGGGAAGGATGATGATTCAAACTGCCTGTCCTGGTTTTAGTTCAAATCATCCCAGGTCAAAGGAAGGACATGAGGGGACAATAATCGACCATCCAGGCATGTCCTATCAAGGTGAGAGGTCACAGGGGGATGACAACCAGCCCCTAGTTCAGTTCTGTCAAGGAAAAGCACCTTCCAGAGAGAGGGGAAGTGGCACAGCCAGGGAGAAAGTGAAAGCCTACAATGCGGGTTTCAACCTGTGACTCTTTCCAAAACCTGGGGTCAGCTGGGCTTGTGTCAAATGTCCCTGCCACTGTGGGAAATCCCAGTCCACCTGGTTCCTCACAGGCTCCAAGCAGCACTTTTGGTTTTGTGCTTGTAGGAGAGACAAATCTCGAGAAATGCACCTTGTGACAGGCACATGCCAGCCCTRGCCATGGCACCTTGGGCAGCTCTGCTGGCACTTCCAGGGCTGGTGCCTRTGCCAGGTGCTGGTTCAGGGATGTGCACCCCTCTGGGTCAAGRAAAATGTGCTTTTTAAAGGTTTTTGTAGAGGAAATAAGAAAAAGAGATAGAAATTATGGGCCTGTGCTGATCTCAAAGGAGGGTGTAGCCAGGGGGATCGGGCTGTGCTCCCAGGGGACAAGGGACAGGACATGGCCTGTGCCAGGGGAGGTTTAGTTGGATTTTAGGAAAAATTCCTCGTGGAAAGGGCTGCCCAGGGCAGTGGTAGAGTCACATCCCTGCAGGGATTGAAAAGCTGTGTGGATGTGGCACTTGGGGACACRGTCAGTGGTGGCCTTGGCAGTGCTGGGGGAACATCCTGCAGCGCTCATCCCTCAACCCCCCCTCCCAGGTTCTGTTTGGGGACGGTCACTGCTAATGACAGCTGGACCCCCCTGCAGCCCCTCCCTGTCCCTAACCCTGTGAATGGC